GTGTGTGTGGTTGGGGTGACTCCTCCCATCTTCACTCCTGACCGCCCCTCCTGTGGCATTCCTACTCAGTGTGATTTCACTGAAACAGCCTTGGAACCCTTGGGACTAAGAGTCCTGAGCCCAAGACCAGCCTCTGCCCCTCACTGCTGTGTGAGCCATTATGGACCTCGGTTTCCTCATCTGAGAAGAGGGGAGAAGAATTATTGAAGGGCCTCCACGGCAGGGTTCCTTCTACAGGCAGAAGCACAAGGCCCAGTTCTCTTGGGGGAGGACCGCGGGGCCCATCTGGGGGACAGCATACACCTCAGGACCAGGCGGGCCCGGCTTGAGCCTGGATTCTGCATGTTCTTGGCTGGGGACTCAGGCTCCCTGAGCGCAGTGAGTGATCTCCAGGGTGGGGTCTCCAGGGAACCTACCTGGAACAGTAGCTGCAAGTGGCTGGCTGCAGTAGGACCTATACATCATCTGTTCACATCGTTCCAAAGGGTGACGCCAGCCCCAGAAGAGTGACAGCCACCCTCGACCTGGCCCCGTCAGACCAGGGCCCTTTGCCTCATCTTTGTTTATAATCCATATGTCATCCATCTCACCAGAAGACTTGAGTCAGTTTACGATTTAAAATTATGCAAAGCCCGGGCGCTCTGGTGGCTCACACCTGTAATCCCAACACATTGGGAGGCTAAAGCGGGAGGACTGCTTGAGCCCAAGAGTTCAAGACCAAACTGGGCAACATGGTGAAACCCCATCTCTACAAAAAAACAGTACAACAAATTAGATGGGCGTGGTGGCGTGCACCTGTAGTCCCAGCTGCTTGGGAGGCTGGGGTGGGAGGATTGCTTGAGCCTGGGAGTTTGAGGCTGCAGTGAGCCAGGATGGCACCACTGCACTCATGCCTGGGTGACAGAGCAAGACTCTGTCTCAAAAACAATAACATAAAATAATGCAAAAAAAAAAAAAAAAAGAAGAAGAGTTAAAAGAGGAAGTGGCCAGAAACACACAAAAGAAAGTTGGGAAGTGGAATGTGCGGAAAACAAGGTAATTGTGCCTAAAACCTGAGAGAAGTTGCCGCACTGGGTCCCAGGGTGATCCCTGGATCCCCGGCAGCCAGGGCGGGGGAGACACCTGCCACCTCCTGGGAGAAGGCTGAGGGTGGCGCTGTGTCTGGGCAGTAATCAGGCTGCATCCCACCACAGTCACCCCATACTCAGCGATCGACACGTGGCCAGGCCGGCGGAGCGGAGGCATGATCGTGATCACTTCCATCCTGGGCTCCCTGCCCTTCTTTCTACTTGTGGGTTTTGCTGGTGCCATTGTCCTCAGCCTCGTGTAAGTACCCAGCTGGGAGGGCTGGACCCCAGGGACACGCCAGACACATTCGGCTTGTAGGGACTCAGCAGCAGGGTCCTCCAAGGCAGGGGACAGCCCGGAAGGCAAGGAAGCTACCCTCTGCCCTGTGGGTGGTGTCTGGTGAAGAGGGAGCAGAGTCCTGGGATTTCGAAGCGGGAGGACCATCGAAGTCAAGTTGCTCAGCTGGAAAGGGTGGGGCTCAGCACCTGGGCTTTTGGGCAGACGGCCAATTCAGATCTTAGCTCTGACACTCAGAGTTATGCAACCTTAGGTATGGCTTACTGTCCTTCTATTCTTCAGTTTCCCCATCTGGAAAATGGAAATAATAAATATTAGTCATCTCACGGAGTTGTGAAGGTTGAGTGGAATTATCTCTATAAAGTTTCTAGAGCAGCACCTGGGAACTCAACAAGTATTTCCTTTCATTATCATTATAATACACCCACTTGTAGTACAGAGGGGGAAACTGAGGCCCAGAGGGGGTCAGAGTGGCCCAAGGCGACACAGCCTGCGGACCAGAACCCAGAGTTGGGGTCCTAGAACCTGGCACTCGGGACTCCACTGACACCTCTGATTTGTGTCAGCTTTGGATGAGAGTGGTGTACCAGAGTTAGCAGGGCTGTGGGTGGGGAAGGCAGGTGAACCCACAATCCACTAACCCCTGGGAAGACCAAGCAGCAGACAAACCAAGGTACCGTAGGAATCCAGAGGAGGGCAGGGCGGGTGCTGCCTGGAGCATCAGGGTGGCCTTCCTGCAGGAAGGGTCAGTGTGAGCAAACTCTCATTGGCAGAGTCCTTCTCAGTGAGAGGCAGGGAGGCCCAGGGGACTTTGAAGACCCAGAGAGGTCCCAGTGTGGGTAGGGGAGGAGCAGATAGAAAAGTTTCTTGGAGTAAGTATAATTAAGTGGATCCATGGAAACCAGCCAGGCAGGAAAAGATAGGTGGGGTGGGGTGGGTGGAGATCGAATGAGGGAGGAGGCTGAGAACTTGCAAATCAGGTTGGTGGACTGTGGGCTTCCCTGTCTTCCCCACCCACAGCCCTGCTAACCCTGGTACACTCCCCGGGAGACCTGGAGTCCTCATCCAAAGCCGACACAAATCAGAGGTGTCAGTGGAGTCCCGAGTCCCGGGTTCTAGGTCCCCAACTCTGGGTTCTGGTAGCGGGCCGTGTCACCTTTGACATTTAATGACGAATGACTCTGACGTTTAAGTTAATAAAAACAATAGATGATATCAGCCTCCCAGAAACTCTGCCTGGCTGGACCTGGGAGCAGTCAGAACATGGCAATGTCCCTCCTTCCTTTTGGGCAGTACCCTAATCTGGCATCAAAGAGCCTGTTATCTGAATTTAGCCCAGCTTTTCTATGTATCCCTTCTGCTACCCCCACTCTGTTCCGGCTCCAGCTGCACCAACTCTGATCTGCACTATTGCTCCAGATACTCCTCAGCCCTTCATGCTTCACACCTGCCTGCCATGTGCTGACCCCACACCTGAATGCCTTTCTCTCCCCTAACACTCCTCTTTTTTTTTTTTTTTTTTTTTTTTTTG